GCCTGTGTAGTCTGTTTGATGGTGGGAGAGTTGTTGATGAAGCATCTAAATTTTCATTGTGTTTCTGTTGCTAGGACTTCAACACTATGGTGAACCTTGCTGTTGCCCTGGAGAAAGAAGGAATCAGTGTATTTCGCTTTGATTTCCCTGGAAATGGGTAAGCTCTTGGTACTAAAAGGAACATCTATATTATTCAGGCAATCTCTAGATTAAGAGGGAGATTTTTCATTTACTGTTGTGAATGCTCTTTCGGTAGACTACTGTTATTGGTGTGAACAGAATCTTCTTCTTATTCATTTTCTTTTTATGAGAAAAATGTGCAATTATGTCTAGTTATAGGAGCTACTATTCAGTCTGTATTAAATCTATGTCTTCTATTAGCTTCTATTTCTCCCTCATCATTGGTTCATAGTATTTATTGTAACTGCCTAAAAAACAATAGAGGCTTTTAACTTCCAAATAAATAATAGTTGTGAGCCAACCCTTTTCCCTAAGGGAATAAATCATTATTCCAACAATGTGAGCAGGGTTGGTCACAACTCTAAAGGGTCTACATTCTAATGCTTTTCTTTCTTGATTTTCTTGTAAAGGTAGTAAAGTAAGAGGAATACAGACCTAACTTGAGGTCACTGCAATGGGTCAAAAAGCAAAATCTTACATCATTTCTATTCCATAATTCTCTTAATACTTCCACAATCATCATCTTAGCTTTCAGAAATTTGCTGTCCCAAATTTCTGTATGCAGTGACTAACATTAGTTCTTTCACAATTTTTGGTTGTACATTATCAACTGCTTTCCAGTGAAAGTGAAGGTTCATTTCAGTATGGTAACTACTGTAGAGAGGCGGATGACTTGCATTCTGTGGTTGAATATTTCAAAGGAGCAAACCGCAAAGTAACAGCAGTCCTTGGACATAGTAAAGGTGTGTCAACTTTTGCCAAGAGTTATATAGTATATTAAGAGTATTTTTGTGCACTATGGTAAAGAAAGAGATTTTGCCCGCGAAATTATTATGCTTTAGGTTTTTATTTATTTTTTGGTGATATCTAGATGCGACAATAGGATGCGATTATACCAGCATTAACACATCAGGATCTCATCAGAACTCCGAAGCCAAGTGTGCTTGGGTGAGAGTAATACTACGACGGGTGACCCCTGGGAAGTCCTGGTGTTGTATCCCTCCTTTTTCCTTGAATCGTGGGTCTATCGGAAATGGCCTCTCTACCTGTAAGGGTAGGGGTAAGGTCTGCATATAGTCTACCCTTCCCAGACCTCACCTGTGGGATTACACTGGTTATGTTGTTGTATCTGGATGTGATAATCTTCTCCCACATAATCACATTGTGGCTCTTCCTTCATGAAGGGTTTAAGTATTATCATTTTGTCATGTTCATGTATGTTGACTAATTATCAGAAATAAACTGTTGCAGGAGGGGATGTTGTGCTTCTATATGCTTCTAAGTATCATGATGTTCACACAGTCATCAATTTGTCAGGCCGTTATAATCTTGAGAAAGGCATAGCAGAGCGCTTGGGGAAGGACTTTCTGGAAATAATCAAGAAGGAAAGCTTCATTGATGTTAAAAATAGAGCAGGTAATGACAGTAAATATTTATCCTGCTTATGGATATAAACATTTTCCCCTTTCGCCAGTAGAGAGTGAAATTCTTCGTTTCGTCATTTATATAGTTAATGTTAATTCAGATTATAGAGAATATGTGAAATTGATAGAAAACTAATCTCAATTTGGGAATGCCACAGCTGCCCCTGATTTTCTTGATTTCTCTATCATGCCAATGTTTTAACAAGTTTGACATCTCAAGAGCGATAAGAGTCAAAACGCACAATATCTACTGGTTTATCCCCCATTGTCTGTTCTTGTTTACTTTTAGGACTAAATAGCTGATGAAAGTAAGAATGTATCTATCCTCAGCCATGATGCTTTATATTACCTTGGTCTCTCTTTGGCTCTTGAGACCAAGATGCCTATGAACTGTGGTACTTAGACTAAGGCTCCATTGACAAGTAAGAACCTCTTGCTCAGTATGTTAAATGATTATTTAGGCTTCCATAGCCATTTTCTTCTCCATCTATGGAGTTGGTTTAGCCAATGACAATGCATTGGATTTTCATTTCTTTGGAGAGCTAAATATATGATTTCTCTGTTTGTAGGAAATGTTGATTACCGTGTTACCGAGGAAAGTTTAATGGATCGACTTAATACAAACATGCATGATGCATGCCTTCAAATTGACAAAGGATGCAGGTTGGACTGATCTTATTCCATTATGTCTATACCATCTCTTTGCCATTGGCATCTCTCTAGGTATAATAGACTCGCTGCAAAAACAAAAAAAGGAAAAGGAAAATAACGCCACTGCTGTACTTTGTGGCATTTACAGTTTCATTTGCACTCGTGCAAATGGTTTTTCTTACAGTGAATTCTATTCAATACAACTTTAGCAAGAAATGCTCTCAATAGCAAGACAACCTCATCAAAGAGAATACTAATAGAACAGCTGTCTTGCTTTCAGCAAGTTGTTACATTCATGAACAGTTAATCCATCTTAAGATGTTATCTCAGAATCCTAGTGCTCATCTGCATCTATTGTTCTCGTTCTTAACTACAAAATAATGAGAGACATGACTTTCTTCTGGAAGATGGAGATGTCAATGGAAATTAGGAAACACAAGAAGAAAGAGATCTGTTAAACTATTGAACTTGAAAAGCTTGAAGCTTTGCTTAATGTTAACTTGTTTCTTGGTACAACCAGATTTACCCCTGAAGTTTATATCATTTTGTTCATGCAATTTTTCCCATTTTGTTTCACTCCATTTCAGTCATTTCTTTGAGTATAGGGAGTAAGTTCTGGGAAAAGAACAGGTCTGCTTAAGCTTTGGAGTCGAGATGCTTAGATCTATGTTACCAAATAGGTGAAATTCTTTAGTTTGCAGAATGGAAACAATGTTGACATTCACTACATACATGGAATGCAGATTCCTTGGAATAGACTATTTTAGGTCATATAGTGAATAGACTTTAAGAAACTATAAAAAAGCTAATTTCCTTAAGTCATAGAAGCTTCAGAAGATTGACATAGTCAAAATAGTGTAAATACTAATAATATATATTAGGATTGTATTTTTATTGAATTGAGTTGAAAAAGCTGAAGGTGATGGTTCTAACTCACAATTGAGGTTGTTGTAACATAGCATTCTAACCTCGCTTTGATCTTGTCGGTTGGCACTATATTTCTGGACTGATCTATTCACCTTTAATGCATCAATGACTTGATCATATATAGGGTACAAACTGATGAAATTGCATTTTGTACAGGGTATTGACAGTTCATGGGTCTGCGGATGAAATTATTCCAGTGGAGGATGCGTTAGAGTTTGATGAAATCATACCGAACCACAAATTGCATATCATCGAAGGAGCCAATCATTGCTATACATCACACCAAGCTGAGTTAATGCCTGTGATCTTGCCATTCATAAAGGAAGGTCTGCAACACTGAGAAACAGAACTAAGACACCAGATAGGTGCTTTGGAATGCTACTATTGTTGAAATTCTGGGTTTAGGTGACCATGGGAACAGTCTGTTACAATCTAACTTGTGCAAATGAAACTACAGGCAGGGTTTTTGCTGAATTTGTCTGTGTAATTCAGAATTTGTTTCGCCTCACTACCAGGGGATTGATTCTTCATACTAGATGTTGAACTTCAGTATGAGATGAACATCTGTTGCACTTCAATGACATTTGGATTTGTATCTTGAGCTTGTAAAATAAAGCATTGCAGAACTGCAGACCCCCACATTTTACCTTATCTATGTTCACTATTTCTCATGTATAACAATACTACTTGTTTCACTTTTTATGACGGTATTTGAACCAATATAAAGTTGAACTTGTTTATCTACCTACACGGTATATTAGTGAAAATCCCAAAATACAGTTGAACAACACTTTATCATGCTTAGGATATACAAAAACAAGAAAGGAACACCACTATTTATAAATGTAGTAACTTCTTCCATAGATTAGAGAACATTGGTTGGTGGTTGTAAAATTTGATTTTGAGTGGATAATTAGTGGTAAATTGTGACATTACTAGTTTGCAGGAGTTATACCAAAATATAATTACCACCGTCTTACAAATTTATACCCACTAAATCATAGACTTCTAATATTAAAATGCACAACTCCAGCACGGTATAGTAGTGATACCAGAAGAATATATCGAAGTTTAAAATCTAAAAGGTTTAAGGAATTTGAACTTTTGGAAGTTATGAAAGTCATATAAACATGGAAATTTTCAAATGTTTTGAAATGTTCGAAAATGGATGTCAGAAAAATTGGGATAGTAGTAAGAACAACAAAATCAATAACAAATTTTACTTTCAAGCTTAGTACATATTCACATTTCAGGATTGTTGTACTGTACACAGCAGATAAAAATATTTAATCTACACAAGTCAGGCTCTTGCAAGAAATCTGTGGGCAGACAAAGCAACAAGTTGTCTGTCAGACGTGCGCGCGGGACGAGCTCACATTCAAAAATTAGTAGATACCATCAGGTATTATGCGCCTCGCAGCTAAAAAGGGAACTGCAGAATTCACACATGATAGATAACATGTCATTTGGTGATGCCATCGAAAATACATGTTTATGTAATGAGACATCAACGTGAATATTCACCTCGACTCTACTCTATACTCTACTGCCTCCGAAGGTACAACTTCGCTTCGCCTGGATGGAAGAAACATTGTTAGTCAGGAGAAGCAACCACAAAATTATACTTCATACTTAAATGATAAGTTGGCACCGTTTTGGAGGTCACAGTTAGTTAAAGAGTGTCCAAGAAACTAGCACAAAGGGAACCCGCAAGGGTGAACAGGTAGGTTGAACAAGGGGTCTCAAGTTTGGTCGAGCTCATCGCATGAGGCTTGCCTAGTGTGGTTTACTTCTCCTATGTGTTTGTGGGCCATTACGCTGAAGCGAGGTTTATCTATGTGCACTCGAAGGGTAGCGGTTGTGGATTCCCTTGTCATAAAAAAACAAGAAGAAAAACTAGCATAAAGAAAAGGTTAAGGTGAAATAAAAAACTATACTCATCGGAGAGTAGGAAATGATTGTTCACATAGCAGAGCATGCAAAAGAAACACTTCACAAAACAATAAATGAAAGCAACATAACTCATCATGAGTTGCTATGAAATAAGGGGTTGTTTGGTACAAAGATGCATAATACGGGGATTACTACTGCATGGATTAGTAATGCATGGATTAGTAATGCAGGGTTTAGTTTTTATCAAGTGTTTGGTTCATTATTTCCCACCTATCTTGTGTTTGGTTTAAAATTCTAGAAAAAAATTATTTTCTATTATATCCTTGAGTTATTATGAGATTTTATATTTCATTTAACTAGTCAAGTTAAATACTAAAATATATATTAAGAAAATATTATTAATTTTGAGGTGTGATATGTCACTATAGAGATCCTTGATGGCACGGTATATTTCTAATTTTTTGTTGGTAAAATATATACCTTAAACTTAACATGAATTCAAGGCTACTTAAATTGTTCAAATACACGAAGCTTATTTTAAAAATAAAAAAAATAGTTCAAGTGATCAATCGATGAACTATATTCTAAAAAAAAACCAATATGACAACTCAAACATGGAGAAAAAAATATTATTTTGTTAAATCATCAAATTACATGGAAAAAATTTGGAGAATTTAAATGAATATTTATAAATATTCTCATATAAATTAAAAAAGAACATTAATTACAAAAAAAGAAAATAGAAAAAAAGATTTGGGGATAATTTAGTCATTTAGGGGTCTTATCCAAGGATTGTTAAACCTTGGATTAGCTATCCCTCCCTTTCCTACGGGATAAAATAAGAGCTTGTATGAGGTATAACTAATCCATGGATTGGGTTAAATAAAGAAACCAAACAATGTTTTTGTTGAACTAACTTTTAATCCATGAACTATTTTGATTAATACCTCCTACCAAACGGGTCCTAAATGAACAATGTAGTCATTCTAGTTCTCACTTCAAACACAAAAATGAAACTAGCCAGTCCCTAGTTTATTGTGTAACGTCACTTACTAGGACAGGTCAAATTTCACCAGCAGATCCTTTTTCTTTTGGGAAAAAGGACAGATTTACCGCCAAACTTTAATAAATGGTACGTCTATGTCCTCCGTTATACTTTCCATTCACATAAGCCCTTGCCGTCCAATTATCAGTACACACATGCCTCTCTCACTAACGGACCCTCATATTTTACACGTATCTTAATCCTAATCAACTACCCGTTTGACCTTCTCTTTAACCAACAACCCGCCCCAATAAACCCATACCTATCCAATTCCCTCTAAGATATACCCTAATTAAAAGACCCAAATCTAACAGGTCCCGTTCCTATCACACAAAACCCTAGCCTTCATCAAGTTCGTCGATTTCATCGCGTGTTCTTCCGCCACGTCTTGGTCGATTCATCGCATCTTCTCAATTCAATTTTTTTCGTCAAAGGTACCCAAATATCCCATTCGATTTCATAGTTTTCTTGTTTTCGATTTGCTTTAATATGTAGTAAATTTGTTGTTGCGTAGTGTTCTTCTTTATTTATTGTGTAAAATATGTGTTTTATAGTGAAAATGAAGTACACTTTATAGGGTTTCACGTTCCAAAAAATGAAGTTCGCGTTCTAGTTATTGTGTTAAGAAATGTTTTTTTTTTTGTATTCATGTCTTGTTTGTTTGGTAGTCATTTTCTATGATATCCTTGACTTTGTTTACTTTATTCCACTACTTTATTTTTTGTTTGTATTCATGTTGTTAATTGTGGACCACTTTTAAGTTTCTATGATATTTTTTCATATTCCCTTAACTTTGTCTACTTTATTCCATATGAAATAATACTTGTTTATTGTGGACCAATTTGAGTTTCTGTGATTTACTCATTTTTGCTTACAACTTAACCGACTTAAACTCAATGTCACTTAATGACTAATGAACTTACTTATACTAATGTGACTGACTTATTGTCAATATCACTTAATGACTAATTAACTTCCTTTAATCCTAATGTGACTACTAAACTATGTCAATGCCTTCTGTTTTCATTTGTGACCGTCTTACTTAACTCAGTTATACTAATGTGACTCAGTAATTACTTTAGTCCTAATGTGACTAATAAGTTATGTCAATGTCTTATACTTACATTTGTGACTGTCTTACTTAACTCACTTATACTAATGTGACTATCTTATGCTTACTAAATGTGACTTATTTTACTAACTAACTTACTTTAAATCTAATGTGACTAACTTACTTCAATCATAATGTGACTTATTTACTATTGTTACTTAGCTATGTATAACTCTTTGTAGGTTATTATCATGGTTGAAGGTACCATATACTTTCATCATGGTGGTGAGTGGCTAACCACTGGACCACATTATGATAGAGGATGAGTTCATTATTGGAAAGTGGATGATCATGACCTATTATCTTTTATTGACTTAGGGAATGAGTACACTAATAAGTTAGGTTTTGTAGGTGTGCAAGAACTTATTGTACTTGCTTCAACTAGGAAATATTTTGAAATAATAGGTGATGAGGGAGTTAGGACCTTAACATCTTTTATCTCTACTGAGTATAAATCTATTTACTTGTTTGCTACTGAAGATTGTGAACTGTCTATTGGCATAATTGATATTGTCATGCACGATAGATCATTTTTACTTTCACCAATTATTAATGAGGGCAAAGAGTGACGATAACAGTAATAATAGTATGGTGTTTAGCTGTTCAGATTATGATATAAACGAATTAGAAAATCTTGTTACTAAAAAAAGAGGAATATAATTGATAGTTTGCAAGATTAAGGAGTTTAGCTATACAAAACTATCACTTATATTCCTCTTTATTTTTAGTAACAAAATTTTCTAATTCATTTGTATCACAATATGAACTAAACACTATATCGTTATTATTTTCATCTTCACTTTAACTACAGTCAGTGCAGTCATTAACAGTTGGTGAAAGTAGAAATGACCCATCATGCATGACAATATCAGTTACATCAAGAGACAATTCACAATCTTCTATAGCAAACAAGTGAATAGATAATACTCGGCAGAGATAAAAAATATTAAGGTCCTAACTCCCTCATCACCTATTATTTCAAAATGTTTTCCAGTTGGAGCAAGTAAAATACATTCTTGCACACCAACAAAACCTAACTTATTGGTGTACTCATTCACAACGTCAATAAAAGATATTAGGTCAAGATCATTACCCTTTCCAATAATGAACCCATCCTCGATCATAATGTGGTTATGGACCAGTTAGCCACTCACCACCATGATGTAAGTATATGGTTACTTGAACCATGTTAATGACCTACAAAGAGTTATGAAATAACATATGCAAGTAAAACTAGGAAAATAGGAAATAAGTAAGTTAAGTTAGTAAATTAGTAAATAACTCACATTTAGTAAGTTAGTCACATTTAGTAAGACAGTTAAGAAAGTCAATTAGTAAGCATAAGACAATAAGTTAATAAGTAAATAAGTCACATTCAACCGGTGAGTTAAGTAAGACAGTCACAAATATAAACACGAGGCATTGACATAGCTTAGTAGTCACATTAGGATCAAAGTAAGTTAATTAATCATTGTCACATTGAGTTAAGTCAGTTAAGAAAGTCAGTCACATTAGTATATGTGAGTTAAGTAATACAGTCACAAATGAAAACATAAGGCATAGTTAAGTAGTTACATTAGGATTAAAGTAAGTTAATTAGTCATTAAGTGACATTGAGTATAAGTCAGTTAAGTTGTAAGCATAAATTAGTAA